AGATCCTTCAAGATAGCCTACGAACGTCACCATTAATACACAGATCCCGTTGTGCCAAAAAAAACAATTTTGAAAAGGGGGGCACCTATTTTTACTCCACCAGTAAAACTAAAGAGTCCCCAAAAAAGACCTAACAGTTTTTGGTGACCAAACCCCCATCCATCCCAAAAACAAACAATAAATTAAACGTTATAATATCATTAAAAATACTTTTTATTAGTGTGATTCCCCTGTTCTCGTTTAGTATAAAATCACCGATGCATTTTTTGCCTTTAAAATATGAAATTTGAAAATGAAATGATCAATGAAAATAATTGAACATGTATATAACATGTAATATATTCCGTTTTGTCAAAAAATGTCCCGCTTCGCTGGGCGTTTGATTTTTCAAGACAACGAAACTGCTACCTTGATTATTCTTTTATGCAGTTGTTTTCTTCGTTTACTCAAGTTATATAAAATATGATAGGTTAGAGTGTTGAGAAAAAAAATCAATAGACTTTTTAACCCCCGTTTACTCTGTTGTTCCAAAAAAATGTCCGTTGCGTATTTTAAAAGTCATACCCTATGAATTGTGGGTAACTTCTGTACATGTCTGGGAAAAACCCAACTTTCATTTTTGCATCAAAAGCTAATGTGAAAATGCATTTTCTAGCATAATTGTTGTTTAGAGGGTTGGTTTTAAAGTGTAAGTTATTGTTATTTTAGTTATAAATTGTGATTTTGTGAGGAATTTTGTTTACATTTTTTTTGGACACCAAATACCTGTCAGACCTCAGTGTAGCCCCTTTAAAAACATGCTAAAGTTCGAATAACCAATAACCTTCAATGTAGGTAGTTTGGGGATTCGCGCGAACACCAACTTCGATCAAACTTTATTCTGATGTTTAAAAATGTTTGATGTGTTCCGAACACTTCATGCAGGTAATAGTGGATCGAAGTACCAACTTCCAGCTGTTAGATAGTTCGGGAATTACGAATAACCAACCAGCTATTTCGAATATATAACTACCACTACCTACATACATTTATCAAGCATATCACGATCAAACAATGCCGGATATTTCAACCAGAAAAATACTCTAATAGGTTCGATCGTATATTCGTCTTAGGGGATACCTGGCCGTCCTACGTCACGGAGCTACCTCTTTTCCGGAGGTATACGGTAAATCGCTCTATCGCTTACTGCCGAGCTAGTGCATGTCGCTAAAGGTAAAGGGTTGTCTTTTATTATATATGTCTCACACTGATCTAAAAGCCCTCTATAAACGTAACTCTTTTTTTAAAAAAAAATACAAAAGGATCTAGCTTGCGACAGTATTTTATCGCCATTTATAGCGCATATATACTATTCCGCTCTGAATATTATACAAGGATTCGATTGTTAAGATAATAATCGGAATACTATTGACCAACAAATAATACTATTTATTTCTTCGCTTCAATTTCTCATGTCACTTCAGTCAAAATGGCGAACTTTACTTGACCTCCGCTTCCATGACCGATATTTTTAGGAAATGAGGAAATTTTAAGACGTTTTCTGTTTATTTTCGTAGGAATCGACCAGAAATAGTGTTTTGTATACATGAATAGATTGGACGTTCGAAAATGACATGGATTGAAAATATTGGCATGTTGTTGAAACTTTTTTCATTTCTTTGCCATTTGAAAAATTTTAATGAAATAAAGTGCATTAAACGCTTCAATTGATCCTTTTCAAATGGCGACCAAAAGGAGATAACCGTGATCTGGTCGTTTCTTGCAGCAAGTGTTCTTGCTTGTTGACTTCAAACCAGTAGTCTCCTACCGCTGTAGGTTCGAGTCGCGCTGGCGGCTTGAGACAGCTATCCAGCTAGCTTACGGAACGTCGATGGTTCTATTCAGGTGCCCGTGTCTGTGCCTGAAATAATGTACAGATGAGCACCTGAGGTCTTCCTCCTCCATTAAAGCTGGCAAGTCGCTATATGACCTGCCACTGGACTTAACATTTCCACATTACTAATGTATTGGTAAAAATAAGATGCTGTAATAATGTTGAAACGACTGATGACTAAAGAATCTTGATCGAAGGTCAAAGTTGACGAAAATTACTACTTTGGTTTGTTTGTCAAGCACGTATTCACCAGTATTACTTAGGTTTTTGAGATAGTTTCATTTGTCAACGCCGGTTTTTATATATACAAAATTACAGGCACAAATTTCGAACAACCAATATTGAAACAATGTCTGTAACATTTTAAAACCCAAAAATTTGTTTTTAAAAGTTAAAGCACAAAATAGCAGCGGATATTGGCTCATATTGCTCTAATGCTTGGTTAAAAAAATCGAGAGGGCGTAGCAAATATTATTATAAAATGAGCCGCGTCACGACAAAACCAACATAATGGGTTGCGACCAGCATGGATCCAGACCAGCCTGCGCATCCGCGCAGTCTGATCAGGATCCATGCTCCTTTTCGCTATCAGTTTCTTTACTTGTAATAGGGTTGGTAAGCGAATCAGCATGGATCCCGATCAGACTGCGCGGTTGCGCAGGCTGGTCTGGATTCATGCTGGTCGCAAACCCATTATATTGGTTTTGTCGTGACGCAGCTCAAATTATGCTGAGTTAAAATCTGATGTTTGGAGCATGTAGGTATGATATAACCTCTCGGTTTTTAAATCGCCACCGTGTCTGTAAATACTTTGCACACCTATTCCTCGTACGATAACTATTATGTATAGATGTTGTCTTGAACTTGATAAATGTGGGTCCCCCAATCTAACCCAAGGGTACAAATCTAAGCCAAGGGTACAAATCTAACCCAAGGGTACAAACAAACTAGAGAGATCAACGTGTTGCGTTAATAACTAGGTTTCAATCGGTGTTTTATTTTTTAGTGGATGAGATTGCTGGGGACTGCGGGTGGGGGCAATAGGACATTTTCTGAGTTTTAAAGTGCATATCTCTAATGTAAAGTGGAAACATTTGTTTAACAACTAATTCATTTTCTTTTCTAAATGGCTGATCATAATAACATAATGTGACTGCAACTACAAAGAGATTTATTTCTAAAATATAGCATATATTTAGCATATATAGAATAACAATAGATTAGATAAATTAGAAAGTGACAAAGCAGAAAAGGCATCAATATTTTATTACATGAGTGGTACTATATATGTGTTGCTATACGGCATAGTTTCTAAATGTTAAGATATCGTATAAAGCAACGTTCACTCTTCACAGCTGTAGTTAGAACATTTGCATTTGTTTCTATATTCATGTACGAAGTAACCAACAAAGAAAATGAGCCCCATGGAGAACAGAACTACACCGGAGACTAAACAAAGATAGTAAGAATATCCACGCTGGTCATACGGTAGGTTGTTTATTTCCATGCAGCTGACGAAATTCATTATTCCTGAAAAATAGAAGAAAAAAAAATCACTATCACGGTCTATGTTACAATGATAAAACTAATAAGATATAGTATGGTTTATGTCATACAATGTCTTTTCATGCTTATGACATCAGTATAATGGAAATCTGTAACATATACTAAATCTGTAACATATACTGTTCGTTTATACATAATTTATTGTACTTTTACTGTGTAGGAAGCTATAAGCTATTATTGTGTAGGAAGCTATAAGCTTATAGCCACACTTTCGGATTCGTTCTTGGAACCATGTTGTACGGAACAATGAGTTCAAGGAAACAACAACTTGCGCCTGACGGGATTTGAAGCCATGCGACTAGCGATCCGCGGCCTTAGATTACTAGTCCGGCGAGCTAACCACTCTACCGTGCCGCCACTTGGCACACTTAGTCTATACTGTTGATAGCTGGGTATCGGTATTTTGACACTTAAATCCATTTAATAAACAAATAACAAGGTACATTTTAAAATTTCAAAGGGGGACATGTCAATAACACAAAGCTTTTTTTTATGTATAAATCAAATTATTCACCTGACACCAGACATCCTATAGGAATAAAGCAAGGAAAACAAAACTTTCCAATTGGATTCTCTTTTTCACCTTCGTCACTTCTGCAGAAGCAACATAGTATACCGATATAAACCAGTATGGTGCCTAGCAGGATAATATAAGAAGCCAAATGCAGATGATCCTAAAGCTGTTAAAAACAAAAAATATCAATGCTGTAAAACATCTAGTCTGGATTACCTGCCATTTTCTCTCCGTTCAGTACTAAAATTTATAGTACGACGGGAACCAGACTATAAAACATCCATCTTTTTATCAGTCCAAGTGTCATAGATACAGTAAAATCTGTGATTAAAGGCCATCCGACGAAAAGACCAAGTGGTCTTTATTTCGATGTTATAATTTTTTTTTGTTTTCAAATCAATGAGGGGTTGTGAGAAATGTCCTTTATTTACATTGCGGTCTTTATTAGAAGGTGGTCTTTAACACACGTTTGACTATAGCTGTATATCACCTAATAGTGATAATGTTTATGCTTTTAAAATGAGAATATCATGTCTAAAGTTATTATTTATCAATTTATTTATCTTATTATTTTATTTCGTTTCTTATTATTTTATTTTTTTCGAAGGATTGTAAATATAAAACTACAATATATATAGAATACCAATTCTTACCGTTTGGACCACTAATTGTTGCATTACCACAATCTTTATACAGTAAATTAAGATCTGAGCAGTTGTCACTGTACACCCAGTGTGATGTGAACATCCCGACGGTCTGAGACGGCAAAACGAGGAGAAAAATGACTCCTAATCCCACTCTAGAAAACCACTCGAACGTGTTACGTGCATGTAAACACGGGCAAACGCCTTTAAAAGCCTCTCGAAAATCCTTTACAACGCCCATTTTAGAAAGTTAACTGGTCTCGTGTTTCCTGTATAAAAGTAGATACATATACATGTATGACAAATGATGCATCTTAAACTGAAATATGTACGTATACAGATCTTAGACAAATACTGCAAAATCAGGCATGTACTTGAATCTGTTTAACTGTTCTTAAAATATTAGTACATTTTTCTCAAATTCGTTGGATATATTTTTTCTCATCTGTAGGCATCCAGCTTTAACAAACGGAAAAAAAACCAGTATGTTGCGTTGTAAATTTTTCTGCTAATGAATAAGATTGATTGTTCCATTATTCTTTATATTGCTGTGTTACATTACAAGATTTTTTTTTCAAACATGGCTGATCATATATTATACATAATTGTATAAGAACGCAATAGTGAAAGAACTAAGATATTATACATCGAACTGTTTAAAATAATAATAATAATAATAATAACAAACAATCAAAATAAAACAATAATTATGTTCATAATAAACCATAAAATAGAAATAAATCAATATAATCTATCATTAACCTGGGCAACATTTGATTGATTATAATATTACATTATGTTGATAATTAAATATTAAAAAAAAATATGCTCAAATTTGATATTTGAAAACAAAACTGATACATGTAATTGCTAAGCAGTCTCTTCTGAAATGTGAAATGCACACACTATAGGTAACTACAGCATGAATAAAAAATACTGGCAAGTTTAAGTTTCTTTTAAAGAAAGGACCTATAATATACTACTAATTAACTTGGCCAGTAGTACCTTAACAAAATTTGTGTATCCTCTTTTTCAAATAAGACATATTCAGTAAGAATTTCCTAGAGTTCAATACATTTCTACAATAAAAGTATTTTATCCAAAGACGAGCAGTGAATCATTTTTTTTTTTTAATCGGCAATTTCGGCGGTATGTATCACTTACTTGTCAAATAGTCCGCGCTTTATGAATATTTATTAATAGTTGGTCCCTTTATATACAACTAAAGATTTGCTTCCAGGAAAAAGAAACCAGTATGAACATGTCAGTTCATATTTTATATTTGAATATCGGTTGTCATTAAATTTAGCAATAAAAACTTTTGTTCAGTTTTTGAGAAGAAATAATTAAAACGGTTCTGGGAATCCTTCAAGGGCATTTTCGTCAGGCGCTATGTCTGTACATAATTTCATCTACATTTTTTGTTTCTTTTTTAAAATCAAAATAATAATATAAAAGTTACCAGGCGAGATTTTCACTTGTTATTGAGCCCCTTGTGGCTGATGGGTTGCCTTTAACGGTTGAGGCATAAGAAACGGTGGCTGCAATTCTGATGCCTGGCAATCCTGGAATGAAAGAGAACATATTATAAAATTTTAAAATTTAAAATACTTGACAGGAAAGCGTCTGCAAATCATAAAACATAAAGTATGGCGGCTGATTTGTGCCATTCATGTTTTCGTACCGCAACCCCGCCAAGCGAAAAGCAAGAACCAACAAGTTAAAATGGTGTGTAAAAATATTTTGTTTGTTATGTATTTGTATGTACAGTATATATACTTTCGGGAATAAATATGTTTAAACCACAATGGTGGGGGCGCGGCGCGAAAACACGCTAATAAGCGGGGACTTGGGGCGAAGTTAAATAAATAAAACTTCGTCCCGCGGGGGGCGCAGAGCGAGATTTAAGAAATAAAGCATCGCCTCGTGCTTCCGCTAATGGGCGTGTTTTCGCTCCGCATTTTCCCGCCATTTTAACTTCTTAATCCTTGGCGGCGTCGCGGAGCGAAAACACGAATGGCACAAATCAGCCACCATAATAAAGTCCATTGATTGAAATTTGTGCGTGTGTTTTTTCTCTTCTTTTTTTTCTTTCGCAGAAATAACTCAATAGCCCTATCTTGGCATGAAATATTGGTTTACCATGCCTGTGGTAACAATAAGAGATAATAAATAATTAAATGATCTTATCTGACAAACGTTTGATTTATGTATTTTTCAAAAACTTATATTGCTTTACCCAAGCAGAGGTATTAAAAAGTGTCTGCTTACAGAAGAAACTTTTATGCACGTGGATTAAGTGCAGCTGAAATATGCGCCAGTAAAATTGCACGTATTGACATGCAAGACTTTTATGCAAGCCTCTGGCGAGTATGATATTATTATTTAGTCAATGAGTTCAATAAATTCAGTATTGATCTTTCACGAATTTAAAATTCCATTTATCAAATACCAAAAATAAAGACCATTTGAAGTGAAAATTAAACATTTTCCATTGACAGAACAGAACAAATAGTTTATAATATTTTAATATTTTCCATTGACGCGCCTATAGTATAAGGTCGGTATTCTACGGAATGCCGTTAGGGCCATTGCCTATGAATGTGTTGATCTGAAACGCGATAGTCGATAGTACGATGGTGAAAACGCGAAATCACGAAACTACGATGGTGAAAACGCGAAAGCACGATGATGAAAACGCGAAAGTACGATGATGAAAACGCGACAGTACGATACTACGATGATGAAAACGCGATAAACTATCGTGTTTTCACCATCGTACTGTCGCGTTTTCACCATCGTAGTTTCGTGATTTCGCGTTTTCATCATCGTACTGTCGTGTTTTCATCATCGTACTATCGCGTTTTCACCATCGTACTATCGCGTTTTCACCATCATACTATCGCGTTTTCATCATCGTACTGTCGTGTTTTCATCATCGTAGTATCGCGTTTTCACCATCGTATTATCGCGTTTTCATCATCATACTATCGCGTTTTCAGAATTATTTTTACAAAATTTGTATGGATACACGTGATTGATTATAAAATAACTTTGCACAATAGTGAAATAACATTAAAGGAAAGTAACTATGGTTTTTATTTTTGAAATACACGTCTAAATTGTAAGAAATGAGAATGACCTTGTGCAGACAATAACGATCATGATATATAGACGCTCATCAATTTGTACAGCGGTATACTTGATTAGAATAAATCGGAAAGTACGCCAACTAAACTAAAGTACAGACTGTAATAGTTTCGCGTATGGTACCGTCTTTTGTGTGTCGTGTAAAAAGTAAAAATGGAACAAAACTATCGATTTTAATGATAGAAATGAAGGTATAAAGTCCTTTGCAGTATCTCTCTAGCATGGTAAATCTCTTGCGTAGTCCACGAAACAGGACACCAATTAGACAAAGTAATCAAAGAAGCGTGTCTTATTTAAAGGGAGGTAGCGCAACACTTTTCAATAACAACAACAATGGGCAAACCTTTGTCAAACAGCCAGCCAGTAGCTGAAAAATCATCAGAAAGTGAGCAAGTAAAGATTGTTCGGATTGAAAATAATGCAAATAAGGATGAAACTTTTGTGAAAGAAGGATATGAGCCTGATATAAATGAACCTTTAGTGAATGAAGACGTAATTACGTGTGACAATCTGTCTGTTTCCATCAGTACTGATAGGTCTGTAAAGGGTATTGTTGATATTGATGAAAGTGAACCATTAATGTGTCCGTTAGTTATCAAAGATACTACAGATAACAACAATGAAGAGCTTAAAAAGCAAATAGAATAAAACAATGACATTCAAAACACATTAAAACAGTTTCTGTCTCAATCCAAAAGTCTAAAAGGTGAAAATGAAAAATTACTCAATGTACTAGAAAATACAAAACGTGGAAATGAAATTCTACGCATGAAAGTCATTGAACAAAGTGACAAGTGTGAAAAAGCTGAAAGTGAGCTATCAAAACTGAAACATAATCTGAGCAAAGCTACAGCTGAATGTCTTATACTTGAAGAATCCAATGAAAAATTAAAAAAAATCACGTTCCCATTGCCCTCTTAGATTTTCCGCCATTCTCCCACATCACTGCGGGCATTTGAAATACTACCTCTCCTCGTACTGGGACCGATCATAGTCAGAAAAAGGGATATAGCAATACGAATGCTCAAGCAGACATAGCTTTGATTGAGTTCTGTTCCTGGACGAAAACATCCTATATATAGATACGCCCTCTCTATAAATCGATTGTTACACCCATGACGGGCCCCACTGACAAAACAGATGTTTATTGTGTCTTTACCGTACTAATGATACGAAAGCGTCACGGGGGCACTATGTACTGTTTGTACAAAGTTTATCAATTGCTAAGAATTATAATAAACAAAAGAATTCAAATAATGACTGGTGCAACGCGTGCATATACCACATTTATTATTAATTAAGTGTTTATCAAATATTTAAATTAAATTTCAAGTACATTGTAGTTCTTTTCAAATGGGTTTTAGTCGTAATTTTCAAATGTTTGAAGTTTTGTTGACTCTGGTTCGTCCTTGACGAAAGTCTTGTTAATTTACAGCTACTCTCCACCCATTTTTATTGAAAAGTCAATAGTTGCAATTCAAATAAAATATTTATCGTCAATTCTGCTTAAGTTAATTATTGTCGGTTCCATGAAAAGTAATCTCAATTCAAACCTCTTTACAAAAGGAGTGTAACGTTTTGCTATTTATTCTAGATCCATTCAATTTTATTTCTGTCGTTAAAAATAAACATTGGTCTTTCCTGAAGTATTCAATTTTAGCTTTTATGTTTTTTGATAAGGCATACTAGCAGTTTAGATTTTATGTAGGAACTTATAGGTGAACTATTGTTATAATTATAAAATGGTATGAACTTGTCTGCGTTGCTTATAGATTTATACATGTTTCTTTTAAAACATAAAAATTTAAAAGTAAAACTTCAACATGTTCCCATTTATTGCCATTTTGCATGAAAAGTGTGTTAATTTGATAAATTAAATGTAAAATGGCTTCACTTTGCCCCGTTATTGCAAAGAAATAAAAGAAACCGCAACCAATTTGTAGACTTTGACATAAAGGTTGTAGCAATTTTACATTGCAAATGTAATTTTGTTAAAGGTTATTACTCCAAATCATTAACAACTTCAGGGTGACATAAAAATATCTGACTGATACGTGTTTAAGTTAAATCATCAGGCATCATAACCTTCAGAAAAGAGTACAATTCTTTCTACTTGAGAAAGAAAACAACATGTATATAATAGACTTAGATCATGTTTAAATAATGACCATCACATGTAGAAAGATATGGTGATTTTGATATAATTTGTCATAAAAATAGCAAAGTGGAAAGAAAGTGGTTTTCTGACTTCCACACAAATAATAAATCAGTATACATGTATTTGTACTAAAATTCCAAAATGAAAAATCAACAAGATATGGTTCAGCTAAAAGTCCAATAAGCTATTTTTTTGGAAATTCTAACAGGATATCAAAAATAAAAAAAAATAAAAAATTCGAGTGAAATAAATCAATATCATTTTTTTATGGCTAAAAGGGCCTTTAACCCTTACCTTACTAAAATATCAGTTGGATTTTTCAATTTTTCAATTTAGACATAATAGATCTTATTCATTATTTTAGAGGAAACTTTCAAGTACTGCCTGAATAGCGAAAAGAGCAGACCATGATCAAACGGCCGATCTTTGTCTGCAATGGTCGCATAGGTATATAGAGGGTATATACAGACTAATAATATCTGTCATATTTTGCGGTTCGGATCGGAATATCTTTCCCGAGGTGACCCGCCCATTGGGCGGTAACGAGGCTTATGATATGTCAAAGGGTTACGAATGCAATAGCCTTTATTATGTATAAGATAGGTTTTTGTATTCTCAATTATCTTGATGATTTAGCAGGGGCTGAAACAAAAAATAATGCTCCTTTTGCATATGATTGTTTAGGACAAATTCTTAGTAAATGTGGTTTTATTGAATCTGTGAATAAAGCTTGTACACCTTCAGAAGTAATGACCTTCTTGGGTGTTCTATTTAATACAAATTCTATGACAATGGAAGTAACACCGGAGCGTTTAATTGAAATAAAAAATTTAATCAAAGTATGGTTAATTAAAACAGAGGCAACGCTAAGAGAAATACAGTCTCTTATTGGTAAATTAAATTTTGTGGCTTCTTGTGTGCGGTCAAGCAGAATTTTTATAAGTAGACTCATAAATTGGCTTAAAGAATTGTATAATTATCTTCCTCATGTTTATGTTTTAATTCCATCAGAAGTTAAAAAAGATATTTTATGGTGGCATAAATTTTTACAAGAATATAATGGAGTGTCTATTTTGATATATGAAAATTGGTCAAGACCTGATGCAATTTTTTCGACGGATTCCTGTCTTACAGGCTGTGGTGGTTTTTTCAAAGGGAAGTATTTTCACTCAAATTTCCCTGATAACATACTAGGTCAAAATTACTCAATAGCTGTTCTCGAGTTACTTGGTATTATTCTGGCCCCAAGACTGTGGTCT